CGCTGTAATCTCACATGGGGAAAGGGGTGTGGGATTTTTCTCTGACCTCTTTTATGAGGGCCATGATCCCAGTCACAAGAGCTCCATTCAAATAGCCTACTTAAAAGGCCTCACTTCCTAATACTACCACCTTGGGAGTAAGAAGCATATAAACATTCAGACCACAGCACAGAGCAAATGATATATCAATGTCAAATGATGTCTAAATGAAATTATGTCAAGTCATATGAATAAAACCTCTGTAATAATTTGAATGGATCAAGTGTTGAGGAAATTGAATCATTTCCCATAGCACATTGTAGAAAAATACCGTATCAGTGAGGGCTCATTACAGTAACAGACATAGATATAGAGATAGACAGATAGATAGATAGATAGATAGATAGATAGATAGATAGATAGATAGACACATAGATACACAGATACACAGATACATAGATAGATAGATACGATTTACAAGGTAGGCGTGTTAGTTACATTTCTCTTGTTTACTGAGACAAAATACCTAACTCTCAAAGTTAAAGGGGAAAGGGTTTATTTAGCTCACAGTTCGTAGAGGTTTCAGTTCATAAGCAGCTGGTTCCAAGGCAAGGTGGCAGAGCAATAGTTTAGGGAGGTGGAAGGCAGCAGGAGCAACAAGGGAACCTTAACAGCACCTTTCTGCCCCTTTTATCTTATTCAGACTACTGGGATTAGGGTGGAGCCACATCAATCAGTATACTGGTTTAGTAATCACACACTCTTAATCCCAGCATCACACACTCAAGATTCAACCACCGCATGAAGCACTGTGGAACATCTAGACCCAAACCATAACAGTAGGCTGACAACGGCCGCCTGCAGAGTTAGGTCTGGAAGAGTACAAAAGTGTTTCGCTGCCTGCTACGTAAACTCAAAGACCTGAGTTCGATCCCCGGTACCAAAAAAATAAAAAATAAAAAAAAGTACAAAAGTGCTGTCTGTGCACTGGAGACCCAAACGATCCAGTCAAAGGCAGAAGACCTGAGTTCACCGCAGAGCCCCATTGAAAGCTGAAGGATCTACACTGGAAGGCTGAAGAGTTTGTGTTGGAAGCCTGGAGATGGATGTCTCGAAGTGATGGTGAAGACTGGAGCTCCTCTGGATTTCTGCTGGGTCCATTGCCCATGAACTGGAGACTGGATAAAGAAAATGTGGGTTTTTTATAAAATGGAGTACTGATCGACCAGCCCGCGCGCTCCACTGTTCCTGTCTGGCAACTGCAGCATGGCGGCGGGGGCGGCTGAGGCGGTGGCAACGGTGGTGGAGGTCGGCTCTGCCCAGCAGTTTGAGGAGCATGTGCGCCTCAAAGCCAAGTCCCTCCTTGTGGTCCATTTCTGGGCACCACGGGCTCCACAGTGTGTGCAAATGAACGATGTAATGGCCGAGTTAGCTAAAGAACACCCTCAAGTTTCATTTGTGAAGTTGGAAGTTGAAGCGGTTCCTGAGATATCTGAAAAATATGAAATTAGTTCTGTTCCCACCTTTCTGTTTTTCAAGAATTCTCAGAAAATCGACCGATTAGATGGTGCACATGGCCCAGAGTTGACCAAAAAAGTTCAGCAACATGCTTCTAGTGGTTCCTTCCCACCCAGTGCTAATGAGCATCTTAAAGAAGATCTTAACCTTGGCCTGAAGAAGTTAATACATGCTGCCCCCTGTATGTTGTTCATGAAAGGAACTCCTCAAGAACCATGCTGTAGTTTCAGCAAGCAGATGGTGGAAATTCTTCACAATCATAATATTAAGTTTAGCAGTTTTGATATCTTCGCAGATGAAGAAGTTCGGCAGGGGCTAAAAACCTATTCCAAGTGGCCCACCTATCCTCAGCTTTATGTTTCCGGGGAGCTAATAGGAGGACTTCATATAATTAAGGAGCTAGAAGCATCTCAAGAATTAGATACAATTTGCCCCAAAGTTCCCAAATTAGAAGAAAGGCTCATAGTGCTGACAATTAAAGCTTCCGTGATGCTCTTTATGAAAGGAAACAAACAGGAAGCAAAGTGTGGATTTAGCAAACAAATTCTGGAAATATTGAATAGTACCGGTGTTGAATTTGAAACATTTGATATATTGGAAAATGAAGAAGTTCAGCAAGGATTAAAAGTGTACTTAAACTAGCCAACTTACCCTCAGCTGTATGTGAAAAGGGAGCTTGTTGGAGGATTGGATACAGTTAAGGAACTGAAAGAAAATGGTGAATTACTGCCAATACTGAGAGGAGAAAATTAAAAATGTGAAACCTGGTGTACAGTTATTGCAAGACATTTAATTACAGTGGAGCAGTTCATGATTTGGTCCTCAGAAATGGACTAGGAATAGAAAAATGCTTCTGACACAGTTTTGCTTTGTGTATTTCACAAGATTGTGCTAAATAAATGTTACATTTTTCCACCAACAATAGAATGCAATAAACATCTTAATTCAGTTAAAAATAAAAAATAAAAAAAAATAAAATGGAGTACTACTCAGCCATAAAGAATGAGAAACTAGAGACATTTATAGCTAAATGGATGCACATTGAGGCCATACTCCTAAGTGAAGTAAATACCAAATAGTTTCTCGTGTGAAACACTGAAAGTGTAAATAAGGACTAAAAGGTATAATAGATAATGTGAAATAGGAAGAAAAGGTGCAAGAGGGAGGAGGAAGAGGAAGGAATAGGGGATAAGAAAGAATGGAAAGTAATATGAGAAAAAGAAAAAATGGAAACAAAGTCTTTGTAGATGGGGGGGGAGGGGTGGAAGGGAGGGCAGGGGAAGGGGGAAAAATAAGAACCAAGATGGATTATTTAAAGGTACAAATTTCTAATGATGAATGTCATTATATTATATACCTTAAATGTACCAATATAATTAATAAAAAGACTGGAGCTCCTCTGAAGAAATTGAAGCTAGACCTCCTTCTTCTTTCCCCTTATTTATATTTCCCCTTTTTATTTATATTTCCCCTCCTTCTTTTCCCCTATTGGTTGGCACCAATAGGCTTCTGTCTGGTTGGTTCTTCTGTCTTCAGTAAATGCGTTCAACCATACCCAGAAGTATGCTAATTCAATCAGTTGGGTGTTCCTTTCTCAAGTTGACCCAACAGTTAACTCTCACAAATACCATGAACGCAAAAGGACCTATAGTCAGCAACACATTCATGTTACAAATAGCATTTGAGTTTGGCAAAACATTGTTATATAAAAGTAATAGTCAATTTGAATTGTATTTATTGGTTTTATAGATTTTTAAAGTAATACGCATTTAAAACTGGATATTATATAACTGTAACCATAAGAAATATATAACAACTTTCACATTAGCACATATTGGCCCAAATAATAATATAATAATTTAGTTCAATCATGGTTATTTTTCCTTTAAATTAATTTCAACATTATTTTTTAAGTTATTTTGTTAAAAGAATCTGTATGTTACTTAAATTTCAGAAGCACTGGCTCATAGTTTATGTTTACTTAGAGATCCGATTGGGTCAGTTGCTATAATGCAGGATGGAATGTGACCCAACTTGTGCTCATCAAGTACTCAGTATTTTAGAAGGAAGTATTTTTTTCTTTCAATTTTAATTTATAACTTTATTATCAGATGATGCAATAAGCAACTTTGTTGAGTTCATCACTGCAATATCGTTATACTACCTCTTTTTGTTGGGTTCATCCATCTACATATAATTTATGTCTCCCTATACTCAGAGAAAGGAATAGAGAAAAATTGGGGGTTGGGATGTTTTATTTTCCCACTGTGCAATTTGTCACAAATTTAGTAGCTTTAAAAACAACAAAAATGTGTATTTTATGGTTCTGGAGGTCAAAGTTTCAAAACGAGTTTGACTGGACTACAGTCAGCCTGTTAGCAGGACTGCCCTCCTCTGGGAAAATGGCTCTCAGGGAAAATGGCTCCTTGTCTTTCTTGGCTTCTAGAGGCCTCTTGCATCCTTGGCTCATAAGCCCATATCACTGACTTGTTTCTGTCATCAAATCTCCTTTTATGACTCCGAGCCTCCCTCTCCCACTTATAAGGACCCTGTGATTACAGTGGGCCCACCCAGCTAAGTCTGGACAGTCTTCCCATCTCATGATCTTTAACATATCTGCAAAGTCCCTTTTTGCCATGTAAATAACATCATGACTTGCAGAGATCAGGACAAGGACATGTTTGAAATGCATTCTTCTGCCTACTGTAAGGGGTGCCACTGTGCCCAAATTATCCCTAGCTAGAATAGAAACTGATGGAGAAGCCTTTGAAAGGCATGGGAACTCCAGAAAGAGAAAGAAAAAGGGAGTAGATGTAAGTTAAGAGAAAGGCATTTTATAGTGGTTGGAGAGGAGGTTCATTTTCTGATGAGGATTAAGAAACCTACTTAGGGCTTGAAAAGAGTGGAAAAGCTGTGGAGTCTGGGAGAGCCACCAACTAAGGAAGGGCCAGCAGACTGCTTCCCTCAGGGATCTTGAATATAGTCACCTGAGGAACACTGGGGTCTGAGGTCACACCAGTCACCATACATGTGCGAGTGACATGAAACCCAGTTCCAAAGCTGTCTAAGTTCTTATTTCAAACTTTGCAAATATACCAGTAACATCAGAACTTAATTGGCTCTGCTGCCTTCTTTTTGTTATGTCGTTGTTTTTCTTTTTCCATTATTCTTACAAGAAACTTGATGCCAACCAGGGTAGCCCAAGAAGAGGAAAATAAAAGATGAATCATAAACTACACTGGAGATAAACCAAGAAATAAGAAAAATGATTGCTGCCCAAAGAATGACAACAGTGAAAAACACTGCACTCATCAGGGCTATCTACTCAGGGTTTAAATTATTAAAAGAATAAAGTATGGAGAGTCTGATAAGATCTACCAGCTGCTTCTATTTTCTAAGATCTTTCCCCTGGCAACAGCATCTGAAGCTCGGATGGATTTCTCTCTTGCTGTGTCATACCATGTTCCCTTCCCCACCCCCTCCTGCTGCCCCCATCGGTGCCTCTGTGTGTGTGTGCGTGTGTGTGTATTTGTCTCTTCTCTGTAAGAACACAGCCCGCCGGCCTGCTCCTGCTGTTGCTGCGGCTCTCACTTGCTTTTTGCTACTTCTTTCCTCTCCTTTCTCTTCCTACTTAGCTTCTTGTCTTTTGGTAAGTATGACAAACACTCCTCCAAGTCCTATGGGAAGATTACAGTGCGGTTTGTTGTGTTCAAAACTTGCAACTTTGAGATTGCCAGTGACCTGTTGAAGAACTTTCCATTGTTGTATTTATAATTAAAATGTGTTGTTCAGGAAGGGGTGTTGTGTTTGATAGTCCGCTGGGACTGCCAGTACAAGGGAAAATTTCTGTCTCAGAGGACAGGGGAAAGTCCCATAAAGTTTATATAAGAGAAAATTTAGAAATAATTTCTTTGCTATAATAATTACTATAAATGGATAATATAAAAATATTAGTAACAAAGTTCTTTTGACTTTCTCACTCTTGTTAATTTGTCGTGAGGCTTCTTTTAGGAATTGAGCTTTCTGTGCCATACAATGATTCAGTTATGCTGTTTTCAAATCAATGTGGAACAAGAGTTTAAAGAATATCCATGGAACTAAATATAAAAAAGAATAAACAATTGTGGCAAATGATGAATGAATAAATCAAATAAAAATAAAACACTTGCACGTAGCCTAACCACAATAAAATTCCTATGGACAATTTTAAATTAATTGCTTTGAAGTTTGATTTCCTTAGATATATTTCATCCTAAAATAATTTCCCCAACACTTAAAAATTTCACTTATGGATTTAAACCAGTAAATGTTTACTGTTTCAATTAGATTTAAAAATTATTCTCGATTGTCAAGGATGAAGTGCTAAATGCCATGACTCATTTTAGAAGAGTTTAAAATAACTTCTGGCTGGACACCAGATGCCATGTGTCTTTCTCCGAGTTTAAAGGGAGGCAAAAGTTATATATAGATGAGTGTGCCAAGTAAGTAGAGGTCAGGATAAGAAACTGCACTGATGAAGATAATCAAGCTGTTTATTGAATTATTTTATAATTAAACTGGTGAATTAAAATTGGTGAACTTATTTCCTTCTAAATAAATGAGTTATTGGTGAGAGTCATGGGGAGGTGGTAATATCTGAGTATTGTATTTTTCACTCTTGTTGACGTCCAAGTATTTGAGGTCTACCACCATAAGAATGAGAGATGGAAGCTGTGTACTTTGGAGAGGAGTATGTTTTTGTTTTCACTTTTATGTCAACACAGCAGCAAAACTTGTAAATTATGAAGATCTTGCCATATTTTTATGTTGCTAATTAGCAATACCACAACTACAAGTTATTTACAAATAAAATAAACTGTAAATTAAAGGCCTAAGCCAAATCTCTTACAACCCGAGAAATGGTAATAGCCAGAAACCCTGGAATCTTTGACTCAGCTTGTCCTCTGTTCCCTTTCCTAAGAGCCCATATTATATCTGGATTGTTTCCCTAGTTCATCCTCTTCCTGCTTATTATATATTGCTATTCTTAAAAATTACTATATCCTCCTAGAATTTCATAACTGAAAAGCAAAAGCTGTAATCTGTTTTCTTCTAAAATAAAGTCAACTTTTAGAATGGAACAAAAGGATATTATAGAAATTTAAGCAATTAATACTATAAGCATCACCATGTTTCCATATTAGTTGATTTATTTATACCTTCTTTCATTCCTTGTCATATTCCAAAAATGATGCCAGTTTGAACCTCAGAAAAAGTGTTCTGATTGATATTTGTTGCTGATCTGGGAAAAAGAAAAAACTAGAAAGCAAGAAATATTATCATAATAATGTATTTACATCAACATATAATCTTTCATTATGGATTGAAATAGTTTAAGAACATTATTATGAATGATTTTAGTTAAGTACAATAGCTTATATTAAATGTTTTAACTTTGAAAGAAAGTTTAAATATTTGTGTACCTCTAATGTTTGTGAGTCTACACAGAATTATATAAAATGTATCATAATACAAATTGGCTTGCCTAAGCGAAATGACAAGTATGATCAACAAAAAACAACAGCACAAATTACTCAAAGCCGATGGTAAGGGATACTACTAAACATTGAGTACCAAACCAAAAGTATGCTAATAGTATAACTTGATTTGAAAAATGGCTTCCCACTATTCCTACCTTATATTATTTCAGCCTAACACTATTATAATTATAATATCAATGATCTGTGAAAGTACATTCATTCTATGTTGGAAACCTAATTACCTGGTATCCTATTTGGGAAATATTCTCACCATTAATATATTACTGTGTTAATTATTTTAAAAACTAACTTTGCTTATTACTAGATATCACTCCAAGTATGGATTCTAATCACTCTGAACAGCTCTCAGCAGAACAATCAACACCTCCAAGAGATAGTTCATCATCAGCCAATCAAAATGTCCTGGGGAAGCAAGACAGTCAGGATTCTTCAACATCACTCCAAACACCAGAGCAAGAGGCAAGTGGCCACTCTGAAAAGGGACTCCATGATATTTCTGAGGAGTTGAATCAACAACTGGAAGATATCATAAGCATGTATGGTTCTGCTGCCAGTACCATAGAGAAAGAGCGCCCAGCTAAGGTGAAAGAGCAGCCTGAAAGTGCAGAAGCACCTGACAATGAGGACAGAGACTGTGAAGAGGCCGAAAGAGAACCCATTGCTTCTGGAGAGCCATCCACAGTCAAAGAGCCTGTCAGTAATAAAGAGCAAAAATTGGAAAAGAAAATCCTAAAAGGATTAGGCAAGTAGTTATGTTCTAATATATCACTTTATTTTTCCTAAAAAGGGGTACTTCCTCAACCTTTACAAAAAGCCACATCTATTATTTAGATTACTATGACAGCTCCCTTTGGGGCTGCCCTAAATTTTCTCTTACTATATTTGTCCCCATCCTCTTCTCCTCAATAGAGCTCAAGTAAATTTTTAACATGTTACCCATTTGCTCTCAGTCCCAAAGGCTTCCCGTTGCTTTTAAGACCAAAATTCATAACATTTTCTAAGGACCTAACCACCAAACCCTAGCAAGTCCCTTGTTCTGTCACCTCACTACGCCACAGAATCCCCTTCCTGAACACTCTGGCCCTGTTACCAACACCACTGCAGTCATTCCGATCCTCTCTTTCAGTTCTTTGAACATACTATCCCCTATCCCACAAAGGCCGGGGCACATGCTGTTTCTCTGTACCTAAAAATCTCTATCCATTCCCCACTACCCAATTCAGCCCTTTGGACACTAAATCCTACTCATTTGGCTTACAACTGAAATGGGTTCTTCTTAGTCCAAACTGATAAAGTCTTAAATGTTTTGTATTTTTATTATATCTTGTATTTTATATTTTTATTATACCCATTCATTGTTTCCCATATAACATTAATCAGATTTGAAATTATATGCTTGTTCTGGGATTAATGTATGTCTTAACTATTAGATCTTTTGTCCCAAAAGTAAGGTGTGTGTGAGTGAGATGTCACTGGATGGCTATTACATAGGACACACACCAGGCTCAATAGATACATGTTTAAAGAATGAATGAATGAGTGAATGAATGAACAAGAACATTACTCAGAATAAAGCGAATAGAGTCTAGATGTAAACAAAATGTAAACATTTGTTATAACATTGTCAATTAGATCACTTGATATTATATTTCATATTTATATAAAATACTTTTATTAAATACAACTCATCAGAAATTTATCAAGTGATTTCAGCCAACATTTGCAGAAGATATATATACTTGTATTCTTAATAATTTATGGATTCTGGGCCGGGGATTTAGCTCAGTGGTTTCGCCACCTGCTCCACAGGTGCAAGGACCCGAGTTCGATCCCCGGTACCAAAAACAAATCAAACAAAAAAAAACAAAAAACAAAACAACAAAAAATAATAATTTATGGATTCAATGAATATTTGTTAGTACCTAGTATTTATGAGTTATTGTCCTATGTGGACAAAAAAAAATAAATAATGGTCCTTTGGTCAAGCAAGTCTAGGTATAGGAAGAAAAGCAGACATAGTTGGTATACAGGATAAGTACAAAAACAAGCAGAGGAAAAACTTTTGAAGAGCATAGACATTGGTAATACTAACAATAGCTGTAAAGAGTGAGAAAGCTAATTTTATATATAATTTTATGTATGGCTGAATGCATGTTACTAGGCAGGGGAAAGTTCTTTTACCTGTCTTCTCTGGTGAATCTCACTGAAACACTCAGACTAGAACTCTCTCTTACATGATACTTTTCTTGGCATGCCCACAAAGAGTTAGCATCACCTTCTTTAGTCCTCTGTTAAATTTTCTGTAGCAATGATTTGCTTATATACTTGCCTTCCAAGCTATATGGGTAATCTATCAAGGACAGTGATCTCATCTTACTGATTTCAAGAAGACAACATGGTATAGTGATGGATGGGCACTGGAGTCAGAATTGGGTTCAAACTCCAATAATATATTATTCCCTGTAAACTCAAAAGTATGTCTACACTGGAGTAGGGTATCACTGTGACATTTACAATTCACTGCTGAAATGTCTTCAAGAAAACATATTATTTTATAAATTTTATAATAACATATTATAATAACATACTTAACCCACCCAGCATAAAGATTAAAATAACTCAGGTAATACCTTTAAAATTTCCTGAAGTCAAGGTTGGAATCATTCTAGTGATTCTGAAATGTTGTAAAAACATAAAAAAGTTCCAAAGCAATTTTTCCCTGTCTAATTCAAGCATCTCAGAAATGTCCCTTTGCACTAATTATTGCTAAAGTTTCCATAAGACAGTATGCAAAAATATCACTCCAGAGGTCAACAATTTCAAGTGTTCTAATAATGGTTCCTAATCACTGCTTTATTGTCCTAAAACTTTTATATCAGTGCCCCCCCAACAGGGCGTGTGTGTGCGTGTGTGTGCGTGTGTGTGCGTGTGCGTGTGCGTGTGTGTGTGTGTGTGATACTGAGATGAAAGATATGAATAGGAATAAAGTTAAAAATAACCGATTTTGGCTGCTACTTTCTCTTCCATTTCTGCCTTAAGCTTATGATTACCAAATAATCAAATTTTTTAAGAGTTAAGGAAGACTTCATTTCTCTAGTACTACACTTAAAAGTTAACAAGCTCTAACTAAATGTATTTAACTAAAATCTTTGAATCAGAGACCTACTCCAATCACAAGTATGGGGGCTGATGACCTTCCTGTGTCACCCCCTTCAACATCGTTTATATATTCTTTTAAGTTTTGGCCACAACACATGGAAGCCAGAGAGAGAGGATAGTGAGGTACACAAATGTGTATTCAAGACCAAATTTTATCCCCAAAGATTTAAATAATCATTTTAGAAAAATCATAGTTTTAAACACATCAAATCTGCATAAGTTGTCACCAAATTTAGTATAAAATGTCTTTACTATGGTAAAAGTTTGAGAAAAATCCTGTTCCTCATTTCTACAGCTGGTTCAGTTGTCTTTGTTTAAGATTTTTAATTTCTTTGATGTCAAATAGTTGCTTTGTGTTCCAATACAACTGTGCCAGGGACCACAACCACATGTGGCATTGTTGCTTTTGCTACACAGGTGGCTTAACTTTCATGTACACTTCCTACCAAACTGAGCATTCTGTAGTGTGATGGCCATATGCCCACCACATGCTTTCACCAGCTTTAATGGGAAGAAATAGAGCTTGTTTTGGAACCACACATGAAGAAAAAGGGAGGTGATCCCCTCCTGATAAGATGTCTCTGAATAAAGTCAGTTTTCCCTCTTGAGTCTAACAGTGTCAGCAAATGACCCTGTTTCCATGGGAATGTAATTACAGCTTTTCTTAGCAGATGTACAAGTCTCTACTACTCTATTAGTCCAACAAAACCATTAAAATTTAAAACTTAAGATCTTTGATGTCATAAATTTATGAATTTTAAACATGCTTGTCTCCAATTTCTTGGATTTTTTTTGTTGAAGGGAGAAAACCTTCTACACAAAATGACAAATGATTAGAGCTAAAAGAGATCTCAGTGAGTATGAAAATTTGAAAACAACAAACAATAAAATCCTCTCCTTACAGCAACTAAAAACAAAACTTAATGAAAGAGATACTTAATTTGGGGAAAAGAACCAATGGACTCACACAATTGTTTCTATCTCCCCTAAATAAGACATGCAGTCCTTTTACATGTCAGTACTCACAGTAAGAGGTATCCCAGCATTTACTGAATGTCATAGGTGAGAATAAGACCTGTCTTTCCTCTAGTCAAAGCAAGACAGCATTCATTTGATTAGTGCAATACAGGTTTGTGCTAGTTGGTTTTGTTTTATTCTATTATTATCGGTATTTATAAAGCACTTGCCATGGGCTAAACAATATGCTGGGCTCTGGTCCAAAACTGGATCAGATCAACAGTACAGTCTCTTGTCTTTAATAGGTGACACTAACTCAGGACAGTAGCCTTCATGTGGACACCTTCTCCAGTGTGAAGCCAAAGGTGAAAAGATGGCTTGACCAATGCAGATGAGGCAGCTAGAGGAGTCACTGGAAGCAAGTGTCCAGCAGGGTGGGACAGCAAAGATCATCAGCTGCAGGGGCCGGGGATTTCGCTCGGTGGTTTCCCTGCCTGCTGTGCAAGCGCAAGGACCCGAGTTTGATCCCCCGTACCAAAAAAAAAAAGTGAACACATCAGCTGCAAAAGGCGGCACAGTACGCCACAAGTCATTACTGCCAAGTTGGGAGGGGCTCTCCACACCCACCTTTTCCCATGTTTTAGGGCCTTGTTTGTAATCTGAACTGATTCACTGGGAAAAGACAAAAACTGATAGGAATGAGGTCATTGTTTTCAAAAGAAGTTTCCTTTCATTTCTGTAGGTTTCCCTGGCATCAGAATTCCACATGAGTGTGTAGTGATTTAGAAAAAGCAGAGTAACCTTGGATTTCAGCATTGGCAAAGTCACCACTAATTATGTAACTTTAGTCTTTTCGAGACCTAAAAAACTCTATCTACACAGTTAAACCAGTTAGTGTGGATGTTCTTTGAAGTTTCTTCTAGACCTAAAATTCCTTAATTTCATGTAGGGTTGGGTTACCAGATTTAGTAAATAAAAATGAGATGCCAAGTAAAATTTGAATTTCAGGTAAACAATGAATAATTCTTTAGTGTAAGAATGTCCTATGCCCTGTTTTTCATCTGACAATTCTAATTCTGTGATTTAGACACCTCTCCAAAGTAGAGGCAGATATTCTAGCCAAACGGCAATGTCTGGTCTTGGGGGAAAAGGTTGTCAAAGTCAGTAATATTCTTCAGTAGGTTTACGGGCTCCCTTGGGTTGCCTAACAGCCCTACTCTGATTGGATATACATATACGTGAGAATGGGGGAAATCCTCCATCTTGACAGAATTGCTTGAAAAGGTATAACTAATGTTAAGTGTGGGCTGCAGCATCACACTTCTCTCTCCCAATCCTTGGCCAAATGGTTACTTGAAGACAGGATTTCTAGACCCCACAAAAAGACAAAACTGAAGAAGACAAAAGGAAGAATAATGAGTAAAGAAAAGGAAAATTCTGAGGCTCCCTGTTAAATAATCATTAACAGATGAGATAAATGTAGCATAAAGTCCAACTGGAAACAGAAAATGAACAGGCCAACAGATATTAAGGCCCACTTGGGAGAAAGGAAAGCCTGGGAAGATTGACAATCACAGAAACACAAAGGCCTTCCATGTCTTGGCTCTATTTTCTTCTATATGGATTTTATTTTCTGTTCAGAAATATAATCAAGGTTATTCTCACCCAAACCTCCTGGAATGGGCTTATGCATTGTGAGGAGAGAACTGGTTTCCAAAGTAAGAGCAGAAGGGGGTACCAAAAGAACACAGGGAAAAAGTAAGCACCACACTGCCAAGTTCCTATGCTTTTGGCTGGCATTCTAGTAACACCATCTATAGATATTGGCTGTTTTATGCTAGTCAGGAATGGTAATTGGCTGTTCTTGTTCTTTTATTGATAAAAGTGAGAAAATGGATGATTTATTCTTCCATAAAGTCAGTGCTGTGGTGTATAATGTATCTTTTAAATATTAAGAATACTGAAGGGGAAGTAATAGGTACAAATACTTGAGATGAAAAATTTGGGGACTACTGTTATAGCAGACATTTACTGGAAGTCTACTATGAACTTGATCTTGTACTATACACTTTTACAAACTTCTGAACTAATCCTCACTTCCTCTGCAAGGTAGGTGTCATCATTTTCTATGGAAAGAGAAAGTGATTATCTGAGACCCAGATGGGTCAGTGGCTTGGCCCCGGCTGGTAGTTAACTTGCATGTGGTCAATCAGAGATACCAGCCCGTATCACTTGACTACAAATTCAATATTTTTAATGTCTTTTTTAAAGGCAAAGAAGCCAACCTACTAATGCAGAATCTGAACAAGCTGCAAAAACCTGAAGAAAAGCTTGATTTTTTATTCAAGAAGTATGCTGAATTGGTAAGATCTTTAACTTTTTTTGGTAAGATCTTTAACTTTTTTTTTATGGTACCGGGAACCAAACTCGGAATCTTGCACTTGTGAGGCAGGCAGCGGAACCATTGAGCTAAATCCCTGGCCCTTTGATTAAACTTTTTTTGTCAGAAAGATTCAGGCTTTAGATAGAGCCAAAAAAAAAAAAAAAGATATTATTAGTTTTTCATATATATAATATAAACCATAGCTGTTTACCTCAAACAAGCCAAACCTAGAATTCATAAAAGAAGCATTTTTTTACAGAAAAGAAAAACTGACAAATAACAGCAAAAGGAAATAGAATTAGAATATATATTCAATTATGTATATAATTTTGGGAATGAAAGACTTCTAGAAGTATGAATAAATCAAAATTGGGATATTTTTAAAGTTCTCTTTAACTTTGCAATGAAATAAATATTCTCAACATAATGTTAAACAAATCTGGTTTTTTTGGTACTGGGGATCGAACTCAGGACCTTGCACTTGTGAGGCAGGCAGCCGAACCACTGAGCTAAATCCCCAGCCCCTGTTAGACAAATCTTAAATTTTAATTCAATTCTTGTACCAAGGGTTTCAGGGTTATAAAAGGGAGGAAGGCAGAGTACATGCCTCAGTTCATGGCATGTTTTTGCCACATCTGGTCCATTCCCTACAATGGCAAAGTGTCCTATGTGGATTGTTTTGTGTCCAGTTCCATGCATTCTCTACAGGCAGCCTTGCTCTCAATATTCAGCATTGCCAGGCCCTACCCCAAAAAAGGAAGCTGTTCTGAACCACCCAAGGGTTCTTCAATGGCATTGTCTCCTTGGTGCTTTACAACTGGTTATCTGGAGAAAAGAGAAGGGCTTAGTGTGGATAGCATATCTAGTTTCAATAAACCCTCACAAACAGCTGCTGAGATGAAGATGAGCTGAAAGCATGTGTGAGGTACTTACACTCTGCCCACAGATTAGGACCCACAATTGGAATGTGGCATCCTCTAGGCAAACTAGACAACACACTTCTTTTATTTGTGCTTCTTTTCCTTAAAAAAAAAATTAACTTATTTGTTCTAGAGAAGCAGTGACAAGAGAATGAAATTTAAGGCCACACAGACCAGAAACTTTTTCTAGGCAGTTGGTTGAGCTGTCTGCCCTCACTCAGGTAGATTTGTCTTATAGCTAAAGAAGCTCCAACTTCCAGCCTCTCACTTGCAGGGACCCTCCTGAGGCCCTGGACCTAATTATCTTAATTTTTAAAAGAGGGCCTCCAAAACTGAATAAACTTCAGACTCACAAACCTTCCCTATTTAATTAATGGATAGAGTTTGGTGAGTAACTTGTTTTGTTTTTCACTCTGACTTTAGTCCTGCAATTCCTAACTGTTCTTTCCTTTCTTGAATCTTGATACATTCTGTTACACTGTTGTCATGCAATAGAGCTGAAGCCTGAGTGACTAGCTGTTTAACTCTGCCAATAATACCTTTTAATTATTTTTAATCAATCTCATAAACCACACTATGATGACAGGAGAGTGCTGAGTATATTAAAAAAAAAACAAAAAAAAATCTCAAATCCCATCAGTTAAAACACAAACTGTTTTATGAACATTCCTTTCCAGTTCTGCTATGCATGCAGAGGTATCTCATACTTACTACTAAAAGATACACAGGAGTTGATATCCGGTTTTCTTGGCCCATATGAGAGACACATTTTCTATGTAGTTTACAGCCTTCATAAGGATGTTTCGTAAAAGTTGTGTCATACACCATTCAATAGAACGTGTAAGCCAGTTAATCCTTTTTTTCTGATTAAAGCACTTTTACATCTTATTCCATGCCCCAAAAACAAAAGGTGTTGATCAAGAAGGAAATTTAAGGTTGTTAACTCTGTTTTTCAGGACTACTGTTAATTCTCTCTATATATGAAATATTGGGCTGAAAGTATCTCTGAGTAATAGAGCACTTGCCTGCTTGGTCCCCAGCACCAGAAAACAGGCAAACAAACATGAACTCCTCCTGCCTCCCACGCCCAGGTTCCAGTCATAATTGAAACTTGTACAAGTTCACTTGTTGAGGTGCAAAATTTCTTTGACTTCAGTTGGAAGTTAGCGACCAGAAAAGATGCAGTAATTGACTACAGTTTTTCTAATCTATCAAAGTAAATAATTCATGCCTTCATTATCAGTAGGATAGGCCTACAATGAATAGATATAACAGTTCACAGAATTTTTAAATGGAGTTAAAGGGAAGTGATATACATCCTTTGGGAATTAGCATGGGGAGATAAATCTAAAAGTATTTCTAGTAATACTTCATATTTAATATTTTAAAACCTTTACAAATGAAAACTGTACTATTACCTGCCTTAGTTCCTTTGACATAAAAAAAGTGGTCACTTGGTTATGTGACAGCTGTTACTTAACAGCAAAATTTCTTCAATTAGCTGCTGAGGGATTTTACAGGCTAAAAA